CCCTCTCTCTCTCTCTCCACTCCCTTCTCCCCTCTTTCTCCTCCATTCCCTCTATTTTTCTTCTTCCCTTCTCCCTCTCTCTCTCCACTCCCTCTCCCCTATTTTCCCCTCCCTCTCCTCTCCTCCTCCCCCACTCCCCTCACTCTCTCCCTCCATTCCCTCTCCCCTAATATTTCCCTCTTCTCTCCTCTCCTCACCTCCTCTCCCGTCTCCCCTCTTCCCAGATCATTTCCCTGCTCCCACTGGGTCAAGACAACGCACTAATGTAATAATGAGTGTCCCCCATATCGACCCCTTGTCCCTCCCGCCCTGCTAATCTCTCTCCTGAGTTCGCGCTGACCCCGCGACCCCAGAGCTTTATCTTCTCTTGCCAGGAGATGAGGGCGAGGAGGAAAGGGGGGAGGAAGGAGGAGAGTAAAGGGGGGGGAGATGAGAGGACGAGAGAGAGAAAGAGAGAGAGAGAGAGAGAGAGAGAGAGAAAGAGAACGAGAGAGAGAAAGAGAACGAGAGAGAGAAAGAGAACGAGAGAGAAAGAGGAGAGAGAGAAGAGAGAGAGAGAGAGAGAGAGAGAGAGAGAGAGAGAGAGAGAGAGAGAGAGAGAGAGAGAGAGAGAGAAGAGAGAGAGAGAGAGAGAGAGCGAGAGAGAGAGAGAAGAGAGAGAGAGAGAGAGAGAGAGAGAGAGAGAGAGAGAGAGAGAGAGAGAGAGAGAGAGAGAGAGAGAGAGAGAGAGAGAGAGAGAGAGAGAAGAAGAAAAAGAAAAGGAGAAGTCAAGAGAGATAGAAAAATAAAGCTAAAAGGAAAAAACAGAAAGAGTGAAAGAGACAGAGACAGGGGAAGTAAGGGCAAGCAAAGAAAGGGAACTTTTCTGCATACTCAGCGATGTTCATGAAAAGAAAATGTTATACAATAATAATGATTATTATTAATGCTGACATAGGCAACATGATCTCTTAAATGTATCTTTCTTATTATTAATGCTAAAACGATGCATGATGTAGAAAACAGAAAAAAACAAAAAGAATAATAACAACAACAATAATAATGGTACTACTACTACTACTAATAATAATAATGATAATATTGATAATAACAATATTAATAACAAAATAAAATGCTGGGAATGTTTAATTTCAAATGCATTATATATGTAAGGCATTAACTTTACTCCAGAAATAATGAATTTCTCTGCAAAAAAAATGATCAATGCATTTCAATTTCTTTGGTAATCAACAGAAAACAGACAATGCTGCTTTGCCGTTGCTACTGTCCTCGACCATCTCTTCCACAACAGGAAATGGCTAAGGCTACCCAAACGTTCCCGTCCCGCCTACCAACGATACCAAAGTAACAGCTGATCGTTTCATTCATTAGATTAAGATAGTTTTCGATGCGATCTGGAAATAGACCCTAGATACTAGTAGGCAGCGTTGCCAGTTCTTGACGTCGGTTACTCATAATTATCATCAACCAATTTACTCCAAAGAACTGATTTAATGAATTTCTATTAAAACGAACATATACACAATTAACGTAATTGGTCAATTAAACAAAATGTCCCGTTCTGTGTGATATAGAAATGACGGTAAAACTTGATTTTGATTGCTTCACTATATATCTTTTATAATTCCACGTTAGCATCCCATCAACTACGAAAATGGAAACTGAATAATGCAAATCCATTTACATACACATTGAAGGTGAGTGAAAAAACAACAACAACGAAACACACAAACAATCCTACCTCCTCTTGGATTCAGCAACCTCCTCTGCCATGCACATCGCAACACACACCCACACACCACACACACACACACACACACACACACACACACACACACACACACACACACACACACACACACACACACACAACTGGATTCGAATGATCCTCCCGCGACCCTTCTCAGCTGACTCCTCGATTGTTTGCTTAGTCCCCCGCCAATGGCGCTGCCTCCGCCGCCATGCATCATTATGCGGTCCTTTGAGAACCCACTCCCCTCAACCCAGCCCCAGCCCCCCCTCCCTTCTACCCTCCCCTCTATCCCCCTTCCCCATCCCCCCAATCCCCACCCCCACCCCGCTGCATGCAGTGTACTTCCTGAACTCCAAGCATCGCTAAATTCCCTTTATGACTGTTAATAACTGGATCGTGCGTCGAGCGGCTGTTACGGAGAGTTACTACGGAACAAATGCCGAGCGCACATGTTCATACTACGTAACAGAGGGAGAGGAAAGGAGAGAGGAGAGGAAGGGAGAGGAGAGGGAGAGGGAGAGGGAGAGGGAGAGGGAGAGGAGACGGAGAGGGAGTGGGAGGAGAGAGGGAGGTGAAGGGATAGAATAGGAGGGAGAAAGAAGAAGGAAGGAGAGGAGAAGAGAGAGGAGAGAGGAGAGAGGGAGAGGAGAGAGAGAAGAGAAAAAGAAAGGAAAGAGGAGGCAGAGAATGGGGAAAGAAAAAAAAAGAAAAACAGACAGGGAAAAAATGAAGTGCGAAAATAAAGACCAACGGCAAGAACGAAAGAAAGAGAGAGAGGGACACATAATTCGCTTTCCCGCCTTCAGAAAACGCGAAAAGTGCCCCGCCCCGCCCGGGAACTTTGCAAAATGCACGAAGTCGCCCGCGCATAAAGAAGAAAAGAGACAAATTTATGCGTGACGGCGAGAGAATGCCCGAATTTTAACTAATAAGAGGATGGGCGGGAAAGAGGAACGGCCGCTGTTCAGGAAGAGGAAGAGGGAGATGAAGCGAGAAGGAAAGGAAGAGAGAGAGATGAAGGCAAGAGGGGAGAGAGAGAGGATGAGGGAGATGAAGGGAGAAGGAAAGGAAGAGAAAGAGATGAAGCGAGAAGGAAAGGAAGAGAAAGAGATGAGGGGAAGAGGGGAGAGGAAGAGAATGAGGGAGATGAAGGGAGATGGAAAGGAAGAGAGAGAAATGAAAGGAAGAGGGGAGAAGAAGAGAAAGAGATAAAGGAAGAAGGAAAGGAAGAGAAAGCGATGAAGAGGAGAGAAAGAGAAGATGAGGAAGAAAGATAGAAGAATGAAAACCAAGAGAAAAAGGAAGACGAGGAGTAAGAAGAAAAAGGGAAGGAAAAATTGGCAGCAGCAGAGTACAAACAAGAAAAGGAGGACGAAGAAAAAGAGGAAGACAAAGAATATAAGAAAGACAAAGAAGAAAGATGATAAGGAGAGAGAGAGAAACTTAACGGGTGTGCCAAGAAGACTAATGACACGGGGAAGATGAAAATAAGAAAAAGAAAGAGACAAAGCGAGGAATGGAAAGAAATTAAGAAAATAGACAAAGATTGGGAAAAATAGAAAATTAGGTAGATGAGTGAAATAAGTGGGGTGTGGAAAATGTGTGTAATGAATAAAGTCACTGCGAGGAGTAAAATGAGTCAAACGCATAAGGTGAGTAAAAGTAAAATTCATAAAATGAGTAAAATTCACAAAATGAGTAAAATTCATAAAATGAGTAAAATTCACAAAATGAGTAAAATTCATAAAATGAGTACACGGGTGAAAGGGAGATGAAGATAAACGTAAATATCAAGGCATGTGGAGATGAACACAATTCTTTGAAAAATGCGACGGTCGCCCTGAGAAAGAGAATATGAAGAAAATAAAGAGAAGGTCCTTGACAGAAGGGCACAACGATAAAGCAAACGAGACAGGAGAGAAAGGAGGAAGGAGGAAAGAGGAAAGGGGATAGAGGATAGATGGGAAAGGAGGGAGAAAAGAGGAAAGAGGAGAGATGAAAGAGAGGGGCAAGGGAGAGGAGAGGAGAGATGAGAGGAGTAGAAAGTGAGAGGAGAGAGAGGAGAGAGGAAAGAGACAGGAGAGTACAGAGGATAGAGAGAGAGGGAGAGAAGAGAGGAAAGAGGAAAAAGAGCAGAGGATAGAGGGGAGAGGGGAGAAGCAAGAGAACAATCAATGCAAAGCAAG